AATAGAACGTTAAACCACCCTGATATGTTTTATAATTATGACTGTTGTGCTAGTGTAGAAAATGGTTTAGTTAAAAGTTTTATCTCTTATTGCATCATAACAAGGTCAGACTGTTAAGCAATTCATCTCTACAATTTGTTCATTTTCTTTAATATCAATCAGTCTTTGTTATCGATAACTACTGTTATTTAAATGGAGTAAAAACCATGACCATCAGAAAAGTGCATCCTTTACAACCATAAAGTACACCGTCTTCCAACCGATCTAAACTGAGACCTATAAGTGAGTCATTTATAACGTCACAAATCACACAAGTATGTATTTTCAATGAACATGATTTAAAACAATAAGATGGACAGAGAGATGATATTAGTTTGCAATATTTTGTTCTGTTCAAATAATGAAATTTTATGTTTTGCAAAGTTAGCTAGAAAATTCCTAACTCATTTAAAACCGTCTTTCTTATCTCTGTTCCATTCTTGAAACCCTAATTTTGATTTCATGTTATTTAGACTTACTATGAAATAAATGTGATCAAAGAATGAGGGATGCTTATTTATTGGAAATACATAAATTTACAGTTAAGTTAAATATGCTCTATTTGTTATTTAATTCATTACACAATTTAAGAGCAAGTTATTAAGTTTTAAATTACTTTGTGAATGAGAAATCAATTTATAAATTAAATGTTCTATTTGAATAGATATATAATGTTTAACAACTATGTACGTGTAGTAAATAAGCATTTCAATAAATATACCCACTGTCTTTCCTGCTTCTCTCAAATTGCATTATATGCAGTTACTTCACCAATATCGACTCGAGCTTGCATGCTTAGTAATTACGTGAATGATGGAGAAGAACATGGAAGTTGAGAAACTCATTTTTAAACCGAGTAGTTTACAGAATATAAATAACCCTCTTGTATTTATTTAACAAAAATACGGATAAAAATATTAGGAATATATATGAACACATAACTATTAAACTTAAATTACCATTAAATGAATGTACAAATACAATTCATAAATAAATTTTGCATATCCTTATCTATATCTGAACATTCATGATTGCCAATAGCGTTCAGTTTTCGTCATGTTTAATATTGATATCGTGCCAAAATTATATCGCACAATAACCGAGTATTAGGAGTAAATTTGAATTCCTTACAAGAATAGGTACATTGTTTTCATCAATTACATACGAATATTCAGGGGAACTAATAAGGCCGAAAAAGATGGAACAACAACATTACATGTATTAAATGATATTTTAAGGTCTCGCTCTGGCTAAATGCCTCAACAATACTTTCATTTCTGACATCATGTCCTGTACACTGAACTTTAAACCGAATGTAAAAGGCCTAACAAAAAACAAACAAAAAACACAGAAATGGTGGTCGACCTGACATTTAAAGGTTAATAAAATAAAATCTCATATTCGAAAGTGAACACAATAAAAAATAAATCTTGGCAACGAAACAAAATCAGTATTTTCAGGTAAAGGATCATGCAATTTACTACTTACTTCGAAGGAACATGAATTTGGTTTGAATGTAGGGCCTCTATTATTACTAAAATGATTCGAAGATGCTTACATATCTAGACAGTAAATCTCATAAAGACGCAAAAGATTGCAATCAACACGAACATTATAATTTCACATCCGTATTTGTTCTGATCAAAATAAAGACTGCCTTAGTCCTTCGAGTTTGCATGGTAAGTGTTGCCATTGCCAAACACACTCAACTGTTCATCGATATTGTGGTTACATAGGTGACTACGGTGGGTGAGGTGGTTACGGCTGTTATTGTGAAAATCGCTTGGGATGGATTTGGTGAAGGTTTATCCCATGGTGGGTTAAGGGCATAAAACTAAAACAGACTTTCGGAAAAACAAGAACTAAAATTGTATAGATTAATTAACGAGGCATAAAATGAATATAAAAAGTAGCTTCTGGATAGTCCAAACCATCATAAACGTTTCATTTCCGTCCCTAAAAATTTCTATTATGTGTGACTATCATACAAATTATTAATTGGGGATAACTATAAAATGAGTCTTTTGCAGTCATTCAATTGGCAGTTTTGTGTTTGAGTTTGTTTGATTCCTTTACCTGTTTTATTTTATTACATCAAATTATTCTGTAACAATGCTACATAACGTCATGGGATCAGGTTTGTGAAATTGATTATAATAAAATGTTTGTCTGGAACAATTTATTTTCATAACTTCATTTTATAACGTACCATGACTATTACTGAAAATAAATGCATTCATTTACAAATATCTTAAAGTAAGTAATTGATAGTTGCAAACGATTGAATTATATACTAATTAGATAAATACTTTCAAACTCTCATTTGAGAAAAGGCATCTCTTAAATGACATTAAATTAATTTGGAAAAGTTACTTAAACAGATATTAAGACGAATGCACATAACCAATGAATGGCTGACTATATAAAAATGGCAACCTTTACTTTATGAATCATCGTTATATATTAGGTTTAACGCATTGACTCAATATAAAAAAGTTCATTGTGTGTTGTGATTTCCATGCACGTAATAAACATATCTTTCTATTTGTGCATATGCAAACAGTGACGATCACCCTCCAGGGCTTAATCTTGTATAATTGAATGTATCGATCTTTAGTGTGATTCACTAGACATAGTATGTTCAAACAAGATTTTAAGCCGATGAACAAGACACATCTATCTTTGAGCAGAACAATTGACCAGGTATTTATTTAGTCTGTAAAGAATTGAAAGATTTGCACATACAATTACCTAAGATAGAGACACGTGTGTTTGAGGTCAACGAAACTCTTGAATACTGTTCAGTTCAGGATTCGATTCTGTGAAGAATCTTTACTTAATATTTGCAATGTCAGCATACTAGTTATTGTAAATAAAGATTGCATTACAATATGTATCCGAAACCGGGTCGCTTGTCGTTAAGCATTGCTGCATAATACTTGGAGCTAAAAATAGAAACAAAGAGTAAATTGCAATAGCTAAACTCAAACTTACCAAGAAACTGCAACAGAATCAGTGGAAACAAACATCTAAACTATGGCTTCTTTCCCAAGCTGATCTTATGCCTTGGATAGTTCCTTGTTATGTTAGGGAGACGTAAAATAAAAACAAATGCTTTTGCTAATCCTTTGAGCTAATGTTGGTTCTCATGTTATGAGTATCATGAAACAATGAATATCAGAATGACAGAAGAAAGAACAAAAGCAATGATGATATGATTTTCTGCATGTTTAGTATTTGAGATTTTTAATTAGCTCACTATTTCAAGCTCATTTGAACATTGTGAGGGGTAAAATTATGACGTCACAAAAGATAAAATATCTGGACTCATCTAGTCAGAGAAACAAGTACATATAATTGTTCGCCTGTGTACTTCAAGCAGAAAACAAAGTCGTCCGGGCAGTGAATCCGATTTTTTTTTTCTGATTCCAGGTGTGATTCCATTGAAGACAATAAATCTTTAGCAATGTTAAAACCATGAGTTCATTCCGTGCAAATCAGGTGAATATAGTTTGACATGATTTGATGCTTCCAAATTAACAATTGTCATCTTTTGCTTTATTTTCGTGACTATCTTTAAATTTTTAACGTTGATAATGATTTACGACAATCAAGCTATGATTATAAATTGTGTTATCATTAAATAACTGATTAAAGGTAAATAAGCACATGTAATGTAATTGAATACACATTGGTAATATGACATATGTTCATTTTATTTTTTAATAGAAATTATATATATATATATATATATATATATATATATATATATATATATATATATATATATATATATATATATATATATATATATATATATATATATAAACTACACAAGAAAAGTCTATTTAACTCAGTGTCATTGCATGTAAAATGGCTAATCGGAAACATTTGTAATTTCACAATTTTCAGTAACAACTCACAATGGTCATCGTTATCTATCGTTGATTACCTGAGTGTGATATTTTTATATTCTATACAGTCATATGAATACATTTAAATTTAATTTTTTAACTGTAGATAATGTGATGCATCTATATTCACAAAAATATTATGGTATATTTCAATTGTATTTAATTATGATGATAATAATAATAATAATAATAATAATAATAATAATAATAATAATAATAATAATAATAATAATAATAATAATAATAATAATAATAATATTGATAAATTGTATGATTGTATTGTGTAAATACAAAAAATCTCTTTATTCATTTTAACTCAAAATTTTCATTGACATCAACAGCAAGAAAAACAACAGCATAATAATAATAATATTAATAATAATAATGATAATAATAATAATAATAATAACAGTAACAATAACAATGACAACAATACAACTACTACTACTACTAATATTACTACTAGAAATAATAATAATAATAATAAAAATAATCTAATATTAAATAAATAAGTAAATGAAAAAAAATCCATTTATGAGGACAAATACATCTAAATACAGATCAAGGTCAACTGTTTTTAAAAAATTTTTTTTTGGTGACCTAAACAAGTGTTGAACAATATGACCTGTTTACCCATACAAAAAAATCTAAATTCATGAAATAATTTATTGTCGTCGTGTCACTTAATTAAAATACTGAAAAGTTCGACCTTTGTTCACTGGTCCAAAATGTGGTTCCTTTTTTGTTTGGGAATCAAATCATGCAAATCTGATTTATTAAATCGTCTTTTTTAACCTGACAAATAATGACTGGTGTTTATAATTTTTAAAGTAGCTTTAACAATTTTTCAGTCATATCGCTACGATCTCTGCAGTGTAGCAGTTTATAGTGATGTCTAGCACTGGGGCATCATGCCGCAGACATGTAGCATGATGTCCCACCCAGTCACATTATCGTGACAAAACGTCGACCAGTCCTAACACTAACCTCTTAATGCCGAGCGTCAAGCGAGGCAGCAGTTGGTACCATTATTGTAAGTCTTTGGTATGACTTGACCGGGGATCGAACCCACGACATCCCGCATCCGAGGTGGACGCTCTAACCAATAGGCCACCGAAGCGGTAACAAATAATGGTTATTTATTAAAAAAAACAATATTTGCTTTGAATTGTCATAATAGCGACAGGAGAAAAGTCGATTGCCCGATTGAACTGCACCATTGATTTTTAGTTGTAAAGTCGATGTTTGAATGCTTTATGTATGTATTGTATAATCGGGGTTGTTATTAATAGTACCGGATTAGTTAGTTAGGTTAGAGGCTCTTGAAACTTACGAACTGTCAAGCCTCAACTCATTCCAGGTTAAAATATTTGCTGCTGTCATGTGCTTATTTGTACTGCTACAAGGAGTGGAGAATGTTGATGTTTACTGCTTGATTACGCTCATTATATATATATATATATATATATATATATATATATATATATATATATATATATATATATATATATATATATATATATATATATATATATATATATATATATATATATATATATATATATATTATATATATATATATATATATATATATATATATATATATATATATATATATATATATATATATATATATATATATATATATATATATATATATATATATATATATATATATATACTTTTAAATAACAGATTTAATCTCTCTCAAAACAAATCCAGGCTCGTCTTCTTAGTGTCGCAATTAGACGGTAATATACAATTTAATTTCTGGCATATATTTCAGTAGATACATGTTAGTGGAATTCGTATATGTTGGTGGCAACATATAAAAATTCTGATGGAACTGACGGTATCTAGAGTGTTTTACGTAATCATTATCATAGTTAACTGTGTGAAATCATATTGTAACTTTCATCAGAGATTTTTGTTTTGAAAATTGATGACTTCTGTGTCAAATATTCTATTGATTTGGAAGGACAGTTGGTCTTTAATTTATAATTTTTATTTTATAAACAAAACTTACCTTAGAATATTACTGGTTTGTTGTACTGGGAATTATTATTTCAACCATTCTGGAACGATGTTTTATGCACATCAATTAGCAGCTGCAGTGTCTTGTCTTGAATAAATTATTTACTTTTTATTTTTCTCCATTAAAGAGCAAACTACGTCATGAATATAGCCTCTAATATGAATGGAGAATGATTGAATATTATATAGTATGAATCTCGTTGCGCAATTTGCAGTTTATGTTCTCCTAAGACTTTCAATAGTACGATTCATAAAATCAAAATTAAATCATTACCCATTTGAAGTCCTCTAAACCCGACTAAGGATTATAGAACGAGAGAGAGAGAGAGAGAGAGAGAGAGAGAGAGAGAGAGAGAGAGAGAGAGAGAGAGAGAGAGAGAGAGAGAGAGAGAGAGAGAGAGAGAGAGAGAGAGAGAGAGAGAGAGAGAGAGAGAGAGAGAGAGAGAGAGAGAGAGAGAGAGAGAACTTGAGCAATTCAATCATCCAAATTTGACGACTCGTAGAGTCCTGTGAAACAACTGTGCACTACGAGGATATGATACATGAATAAGATTTAAGCTGGCGATTGCGTCTAACTTGTCGCATGTCTATAGTTACATTGAACGTTTTCAACGCATCATCTTTATTGGAGGCTTTTGAAAGCAAAACAAAGATTCAAATGAATATGTTGCTTTTTAGGCTTTTGGGTGTCCCGGTTTATGCAGAAAACTTCTCTGTCAATCATTATATTATGTTTCTATTTTCCTCTGATGTACATGTATAGGCACTTAAAATTTTGTTTGACTATTAAACAAATATGGGTGTATACTTTACAAGAAACAGGCGGAAAAGTTTACGTGTTGTAAAATATATAAACTTTAATTAAACACAGGTTTTCAAATACGAGATGTTAATATTAGGTAGCACTCAGGCACATCTTGTCAACATGGGGCATACCCCTTCCAATCCCTGTTTGTGAACATTTGAAGCAGAGGACGACAGTATTATATGGGGGCGAATTAGCGACAACGGGACTTAGTGTTAAATTTGGGTATTCACTTTGTCGACAATAGGTATAGCGACAAGGGAAATTTAAAATAACTGCAAAGGATTGGTTCTGTATAGCAACAAGGGGAATTGGAGAATGCTGACGTCACGGATCTGGACACTGAGGAAATAATGGCAACAATGTAGCAAGTGACTGACATCAGTCGGGCGGAGCAGTGTAGCAAGTGGCTAACCTGAATATTCGCTACTCTAGGTAGAGACAAATACAATATACATTGATATAGAGTCATATATAGTGACAAAGACAAACATATATTTATCTGCAAACATCTATCAAACAAACAAATATACAATCGACTAAGATATATATTTTTAGACGAGACAGAATATACATTTTGTTGAGACATATATAAGTGGCCCTGAAAAGGGCCTTTGGGTGTTTTGTAACATTGTAAGGATTAAGACTATTTTCAGAAAGTTTTGACTCTCTTCAAAGGACCATATAAGTAATAAAAGTGATAACCCATGATGATATGAAATACATGGGATAGTATGAACAGAAACATCTTTTTATGGCAACACATGAATGGAGTGAGGTGAACGGCTGTTATTTATAACGGAAGAGCAGATCGAAACGAATTGACATCTTTCACCAATCCTGCGCAGTGAATCAATGCAGCAGAGTTAGAATATGACGGAAAATACGAAGACGATGAATTGGTGTGCTCCAGCTCTGAAGACAAGGAGTGATGGCATAGTAGTCGCTAACCAAAGAAACAAAGTCCTATTTCCAGATTAGAACGATTTGAATTAAGATTTAGGTTATTTTCTCTCTTTTTCGCAAGAATTTGTTCCGGTACCAGTACCTTACCGTACGTCAAAGGCAGAAAGAAGAATTTAAAAAACTTTTGCAATAACAAAAAGTGCAGAATAAGTATTTCTCATTCAACAGCAACAATAGAAGAAGAGGCAAGAAGAAAATGATAGGAAGAAGTAGAAGCAGAAAAGAAACATGGCCTAGGAGAGGAGGACGGTAAAAGTCAAACGGCCTCGATACTTGTATACATTATGGCGGAGTTAAGGACTCTGAAGCAAATGCGTTAGACATATTAATACCAACCAGGAGAAAAAGACCTTCCCCTGCCAAAAAGTTTAATTCTGTCCAAACGTATACTATTCCAGAGTTAACAACGCTAGTGATCTCTACGAAATCATTGAAAAGAGCACGTCAGGATGTTGTCTATGGCATTGGCAAAGAGATAAGGCAGTTAAAGATCATTGCCTCATGTTTATAAAGTTTGTTACAAAAACAAACACCTAAGAGACTACAACAGGTTTGTCAAATCAAATCAAACTAAAATTCCTTTTATCCCATCAGTATAAGTGTATGAGTGCTTGAGTGTAGGTCCTTATTATCATAAAAAATTAAAACCAAGAGACACGTTTTTCTTTCTGCTCTATCTCGTACACGTTAAAATTAAATTTTACAACAAATCACTTTAAAAAAGTTCATTAGCTTTTTCCTTTCCTTTCACTCTCGCCTTTTGAATTTCTTTATTTTCACCGTCACAGTTTTTTCACCTTCTCATCTTCACTGTCCTATTTTCTTCTCATCATGCCTTGACGTTGTGGACATTCAAAAGACCAATGTGATTTCTTCTAACAGATAGTACAAGTTTCTTGACTTTTATCTCGAAAGGAGGATGAGTAGTCCGTCGGCTTCTCTGTAGAAAAGATTCATATGACACCTCTCAAAGCTTTGATAAGAAGTTCTGTGTTGGCACTTCTTCCATCTTTCTTGTAGGAATGAGAGTGAAATTAATAATTTGATGGAAGACACCGACCTTTCATATAGGGAAGACACTAACCTCGCATTTATATTTAGGGGACAAAAGCGTTTAAAATTTAGTCATTTGCCATTTTTCAAACTAGATGAAACGATAGCACTATTTCTTTTAGAAAGGAGAAGAAAGTAAGAGGGAGAAACTTGACCTATCGCCTCGCACACCAGCTGAAATCTTGGCTCAGATTCATGCCAGTGATTTTTAAGATGACATGAATGAGCCAGAATCCACACCAGTTAGGTCTGTATGCAAATCTTGAGAGCTGCCAAACCAAAGTCCACCAGCCACTGTCATACAGTAGTACCACATTCAAGAGAGAGATAAATGCTCATCTAGAAAATTTAAAACCTGCACGCTCATGACTTAAAGTCAGAGGTACCGCAGGAGAAAACAGTAGAGTTCATCACTACTTTGTGGGATTCTTTGTTAAACCTCACAAAAAGGCAATGTCGAGTTAACGATCGCTTGACACTTTCCATTTATGACAACAGTCTAAAGTCTCCAGTTTGGATCGAGTTTAGCTGGGCAGCAGAACTAACACATTTTAAAGTAATCGACAAGAGTCAACGTTTTCAGCAGTCCAACAACAAGTTTCACATCACCAATGGAAAAGCGGCAATGTTCATGGCTCACACGTCTCTTCCCAATGGGAACGGACAACGCCGAAAGTTTTATTGGGTGGACAGTCTTCGCAGCACCAAAACGAGTCGCGTCCAAATTAACAACATTCAAGACTGATGTATTTAGCTCTTGCCATCGTTATTGGTTAATTGTATGCTGGCAAGAAAAACACGGTACAAGAGAAAAGATCCTGGAAAACTATTCAAAGATTAGACCGAGAAAAAAACAAAGAGAAGCAAACCTCCGGCTACAGCAACCTGGTTTAGCATGAGATATGCTAGTAACATCGGGAGCCTTGCGGACAACGCCAGTCACCCTCCCAACGTGACAACAACCGTTTTCTAGACACTCCTCTCAAATCCAATGACCCATCGAACAGCAGAACACCCTATGGCATTCCTGAAATGCAAAAATTGCAACACGTCTTATCCAAACGTTACACATTGAAAGTGCTCCATCATTAAATGCGCAGAGATCTGTTGTTTTGAGGCAAAGCCGGAATTTACATTGAAATATATTATCACTATCATTATTTCTATACCATTATATCTCTCACTGAATTTCTGGAATACATTTATTTTTGTGAGACATATGACTATTCGTTTATGAATCGAGAGCAATACAACCATTATGGA